CGGGCGCGGCCCCGCCGAGGCCGGCGCCGCCCGGCGGCGTGAAGATCTCGAGGTGGCGGCGGGAGATGAAGCTCGAGTGGCCCATGCTCACGTCCACCGAGCCCTGCGACGAGTTGCGCCCGATGGTCACCGAGCGCTTCTTCATCAGGTACTCGAACTCGCGGCCCTCGAGGCGCGCCACGGCCCAGCCGCCCGGCGGGGAGCCGCCGGCCCCGGGCTCACGGGGGCGCTGCTGGGCCGCGGAGGGACGGAGGAGGGCGCTGCCGGCTCCCTGCGGGAGGAGGTCCCCGCCGCGGTGGGGAGCCCTCCCCGGCCCCCGGGGCGTCCCACGCCCCAGACCGGGACCGCCCGTGGCCTCCGCGCATATCTGATTGCAAAAGGGTCTTTGTGCCAATCTGCTCAGGAGCCCGCGGCTGGCACAGCCCGGGGCTGGCGGGGGCCTGCGGGAGCGAGGCCCGGGCACTGCCCGGGCTGCAGAGGGGCGGGTGGGGCGTGGGCGGGGCAGCGGGGCGTCGTCCCTGGCCCCACAGTCCCAGGCTGCTGAGGCGCAGGGAGGAGGTTTTGAGATACCTCTGGGCTTGCAGTCAGGCCTCTTGGGTCTCTTTTCACTGCTTCCTTAACCCCCATTCCACGCTTGGTCCCCCCAAACCCAGATATCCCATCCAGCCATCAGAGGGAGACTGTTTTGTTATTAAATGCTGCCTTAAAAACAGCAACATGGAGTAGGTTTTGAGGTACGTTTATTACTTAAAAAGGGCAGGACTTTGTACAATAAACTGCCTGGTACTAAAGTTTTATTAACAAAAAGATCCAGACTTGTCTCTGGCTGTGTGCCCAGAGGCTCTTTGAGATGGTCGAGACATAAAATCTCACCCTCGCTCTTCCCTGGATTTTAAGAGTGTACCTGCAAATCCTCATCTTTTATCTTGGGCATTTGTTTGGAAAAGTAGTATTTTTTTTTTCGTAGTTATAATTTTTGAAGCTTCCAGGATACAGCTCAAAGCCACTCTTCCCGCCCCAGTAGGCTTTTCTGAGCTAGGGTGCAGCTCAGTGAGGTCTGCCTGTCTCAAGCAGGAGCTCAGCCTTGCCCACATTTCTCTCCACGTGAGGCCACCACCAGGTGCCTCTAGAGCACCGTCAGCAGCGGGGCTTCTGGGGACTCAAAGCCGGTTCGTGTGAGCTCTGGGGCTGGGGCTGGTGACCTCGCCCTTCCTGGGAATGACACGTACTTCTCAGCAGATGGGCGGCTCACCCCTGCCCCAGCTCGGCCGTGTACCTTGCCGAGAAACAGTTCCTCAAGCAAGGAGCTCTTTGAAATGCTGTGCCTCGTCCCAGCGTGAAAGCAGCCTCAGAGTCTTCAGCAGCCAATGCTTACTTCACCTTCGCTGTGTCCGAGCTGGAAAGGATTTTAGGGCGTCCCTGTCTGCTCGGCCTGCTTCTCCAGGGTGCCGCCACTTCCCCTATGCCATCACTTTAAGGAGGCTTTATAGGCCTCCCTGGAGGCGCAGGGGTGACAGCACAGCTCTGTGAAGCAGCCCCTGCAGCGCGAGTTCGATCTCCAGCCAGGGAGGGACCCCCGTGGCCCAGCAGACCTGGCCTGTCTCCCCGCTGCTCCCCTCAGCAGTGTGTTTCAGTACATTCACTCTGTCTCTGGGGAATCCTCTCACCCCAGCACCTCCGGCCTGTACCCCAGTTCTTGTATATATAAATAAATAAAACAAATATCCAAAAGCTCCTAACTTAGTAACTAATTAAGAAAATACAAAATTACAGTGACAGAAGCGTCTTGCCTTTCACTCCCAAATAACCAAAATTACTTATGCCGGGTCTGTGTTTCTTCCTGGGGTGCCACACAGCTTCCCCAACCTTGGCATCAAGTGGACACCACCACCCTAGAGCCACAGCGATTGTCATGTGGCACTTTTCAGTCACAGCAATCACTGAAAACCTTGCTTTGCAAAGAGGTGCCTGGATCAAAAGAAAGCACGATCTAGCATTAGAACTGCCTACTGTGTAAACGTCGGTGCAATTAGGCCCTCCCTGCTGGTGCAACGGGTTAGGACACCACCCTGCAAGCTGGCAGCAGCCGCTTCAGTGCCAGTTGATCCCCGGCCCCAGAGGTGACCCACATGGAGCAGCAGACCTCTCCTGCTCCTGAGCTGCCCGCTGTTCCCCTCAGCAGTGAACTTCGTCGATCTGCCTATTCTGTCCCCCGCTCTGTCTCTGGTGAATCCTCTCGCTGCCTATGTACCCCAGTTCTGTGTGCATAAATAAATAAATCTTTAAAAAAAAATAGGTGCAATAACGGTTGATTTGGTGATGGGAAGCCCACAGGGATGACAACTGAGATGGAAAAAGGTACAAAATGATGTAAAAAAAAATTATATTATTAAAAAAAATAAATTTGATATCAAATGTTAAAAAAATAGGTACAATAAAACCACATCTACATTTAATCATTATTGTCACTGCCACGTTTTCTGGCTCTTTTCATATGTTTCACCAAACTATTTTAGAGAAAATAAGATGCAATGCTTCACCTACAATGAAGATATTTATCACACCTTCCCATGCCATCTAGTACCTACTCCTCGTTCGAATGTACAAAGCTTAGCAGGACATTTTGAAATGTCTTTGTTCAAAGCAGGATCTCACCAAAGGTCAAACACTGGGGTGTCTCTCAGTTTAGAGCTGTCTCCCAATCTTCTTCTTTTTTAGTCTTACATTGCCCTTTTTGAAGAACCAGGCTCAGTATGCAGCTTACAATCTAGCTTACGCCAGGTGAACTCACAGTGGCAACGATCATTGGATTCCCTTGGAAACTGAAAATACCCTGCAGTACTCGTGACAGTTTGCTGCGACATCTGAGTGTCCAGGCGGCAGCAAAATGTGACTGTGATGTCTGGTCATTTAGCTGCCCGGGCTTCAAGTGGTCTGGGGACAAAGCCAACGAGCACAGGCTTGCTGCGATGGACAGAGAAGAGCATGTCCTCACCGAGAGCAGTGCTTTCTGCTCTACTGGCCTTGAGAAACAGCAGGGAAAATCATTCGGATGTGGCCCTCCCTGACGGCACAAGGGGTTAAGACACAGCACCGCGAAGCTGTCTGCAGCCCCTGCAGCACGAGTTCCATCCCCAGCCAGGGAGGGGCCCACAGGGCGCAGCAGATCTCTCCTGTCTCCTTGCTGCTCCCCTCAGCCGTGTATTTCAGTAGATCCATCTGTTCTGCTTCCCGCTCTGTCTCTGGGGAATCCTTTCACCCCCACACCTCTGGGCTGTGCCCCTCTTCTCTTATGCATACATAAACAAATCTCTAAAGAAAACATTCAGTTGAACCTTCCTGAGTAAAGTGATCAAGTAGGTCGGGAATATCTGCCTCATTGCTTACATGTCTATTTCAGGTCTTCTCTAATGCGAGCACCTTGTTTCAAGTATCAGAAATTTCCGCCCACTCCCCTGGGTTTGTCTCTGGCTGGTTAAGCATCAAATTAACATATCAAAGCAGTAGGAGATATGAACAGATCTAGTTACATATGTGTGGAGAATCTACATGGATGTAGATTCCAAAGTCAGTGGGGCAAGATGCGGGTGTGTGGGCGCTGAGGACTCGTGCAGAGAGCTGGGGCTGCAAGGGGGGTGGGGGTGGGGTTCAAATGACAGGGAAAGGCGAAGACTACATGCTTGGTAGTTAAGTTTCTTGACTGGAAAGTTTATTTCTGGTAAAAAAAAAATCCTAATTCAGGGCGAAACCCCCAGTTTTCATTCTTCTAAGTAGTTAAGGGGGTGGGAGGGTGTCTCGTGAGCTGCCAGACCTCATCTCAGTTTGCAGTGCACATGCCAGAGTGACAAGCTGCTCAGATACGGCCACGAGCGAGCGTTCTGGGCTTTAGAGGGTTGCAGGATCAGCGC